TTTCATTTTTGGGTGAACTAACCCTTTAAGTTTATTTAATCAGAACAAAAAAAGTAGTTGTAAAAAAAAAAGTAGAGTTGGATGTGAAAGTATAGTGTATAACATGTATAACTGAAACACATTTAAAAGTATAAACTTGAAAGTTTATTTGCAAACATGATACATGGAGATAATGCCCTGCTATTGATATTGTAACCCTGGATTACATGTCAGGTAAACATATCAAATTCCACAGAGACGCTTCTACTGACTCACGTGCTCACGATCACGCATATTATCATCACTGTGTTGAGGAGCTTAGTCATGCACAGTACAATTGCCATGGTGCATTATTGTACAATACATATAAACCCTAGTTTCATGTTAATAGCATTGTTTTCACATTCATTCATTACATTATTTTTTTTTTAAGTTTAAAAAGGATTTTAAAAGTATTTTATAGATCAGTATTAAGATCTAGAAATGTAAACAGCGATACCTTGTATTATATGTCTGCCACTGTCAGTCTCCCGGTCTTGAACTCTGATTACGGTGGTCATGTTGAGGAGCGACACCAGTGTAAGATGTGTTATGGCAGAAGGCAGGTAACAGAAGCTTTTAACGTGTACTCACCTTCCCGTGAGGGTGTGTCCTGCAGCTCCTGCTTCCCGATAGACCACAGTACTGGAGGAGGGGAGCATTCAGACTCATTTGATATCAGATGTGACTGTGAATACCATGAACCTGAATATTGTGTGGTGCAAAATGATATTTTATTTGTTCAGGTATATTTATTAAATGAACTTTATAATTCAAAGATTTCCTGCACCCTAACAAAGGAAATATGAGATGTGTCACAATCACATAACATACCATCATACATGAAAAATGCTGATATAGGCTACTGTATGACCAGATATGACCTGTGTAAAAAAAATGCTAATATACAGTATGCTCACCTGTGTATTATGTCTGCTACACTAAAAATCCAATATCATATTGTTTTGCTGGTATTGTTGGTTGTGTGTGGCAAAAGTTTTGGTTTCTAACGTAACCTCGGTTCCCTGAGATAACGGTAATGAGCATTGCATCAGTTTTGCTAACGCTATGGGGAAACTCGGTTTCTCTGAATACTGAAGACTGATTGGATCACGTGCAATGATCACTATGCAATGATCGTTCCAGTTATCCCAGTAAACAAAACGTTCCCTTTCGATGCGGTTTACTCACATTTTCGCTGAAGAAACGTGGACGGCAAGAACCAGTTGGCCGCTGCACAGATGTGACCTGGTTGTGGTCAAGTGACCACAACCACTTGACCTGGTCCACTTGACCACAACTGACCTGGTCCACTTGACCACAACCACTTGACCTGGTCCACTTGACCACAACTGACCTGGTCCACTTGGTCCACTTGACCACAACTGACCAGGTCCACTTGGTCCACTTGGTCCACTTGACCACAACTACTTGACCTGGTCCACTTGACCACAACTGACCTGGTCCACTTGACCACAACCACTTGACCTGGTCTACTTGACCACAACTGACCTGGTCCACTTGACCACATCCACTTGACCTGGTCCACTTGACCACAACTGACCTGGTCCACTTGACCGCAACCACTTGACCTGATTGTGGTCAAGTGGGGTGTCCATTTGGATGTGTATAGTTCCTCCACAACCAGGAGGAGGCCGTTCCCCTGGTGGAGTGGCCCTTCACTCTGATAGGACACTGCAAGCCCAAGGAACTATAGGCCAGTGCTATTGCTTCCTCTATCCAATGAGACAGTCTCTGCTTTATGACTGACTGCCCCTCTAAAGCACACAAACCGCTGCTCTAATCGCCAGATCTGGCTAGACCGCCCAATATATACTCTGAGGACCCAGACTGGGCAGAGTAGATGTAACGACTGCTCATCCTCAGAAGCAGGAAGAGCAGAGAGCATTATGACCTGAGCTCTGGACAGCGTGGAGAGTATCTTAGGTACGTAGTCTCGCCTTGTTTTAAGGACGACTTTAATGTCACTGGATCCAAGATAAGACTGACTGCAAGTCATTCTTAAGCGTAAGGGGGCGGAGTTCAGCCATCAGAAGCGGCATGGACAGGGGTTATCGAAGCGCCCTAAGTACTGCGTATAGATCCCAGGCTGGAAGTGTAAGGAAGAGAGGTGGATTCAGTGTTCTGGGTCCCCAAAGGAACTTCACAATTAGGTAATTCCTTCCAACTGATTGGCCGGTAGTAGGGGCGTGGTGCACCATAATGTTTACCACATACACTTTGAGTATAGAATTGGATGCGTCCCCCATGTAGAAGCTCTTGCAGGAATTACAATATTGGCACAACGCCACAAAATGGGGTATCTACGTTCTGGACTGAGTACCAGTCAGAAAAGACAGTTAAGGACATATAGGCGCCTAGTAGTGGGTGCCCTCGCTCCTGTCGAAGGGCCACAGATGGAGGCTCCACAACTCGGGTTGGGGATGCCAGATCCTCCCTTCTGCTTGGGAAAATTGGCCAGCCGGCTGTTGGCAGCAGCGGCACCATCCTGGGAAACCAACACTTGTTCTGCCAGAGCGCAGCCACTAGCAGGACCATCTGTTCTCCCTAATTTGGCTGATGACCTGAGGGAGCAGAGCAACCGGATGGAAGGTATAAAGGAGTGAACAGGGCGGCTTGTGGGCAAACGCATCCTGATCCTCCGAGAAGAACGTTGGGGTGTGGGAGAAGACGTCTATTTCCACTTGCCGAAGATACTCCAAATCATCTGTACCGTCTGGGATGGTCTCCCTTCCCATGGAGACCGTCCGTTCTGGGACAGCATGTTTGCTCCCTTGTTCAGAGAGCCAAGGCCTCACTGAAGGGAGTTTGTGTTGAGCCCATAGGAAGAGGCGACTAGCCAGCCTGTTCAGCAGGCATGACCCGAGTCCCCCTGGGGATTTTTGAAGGCCACCACTGTCATGCTGTCTGATTGGACCAGGACGAGGTGCCCTGTCCATTCTGCCTGGAAGGAGTTGAACGCTGGCCTGTCGTTGCACAGGGCATCCCAACCCGATTTGGAGGCGTCCGTCATGACCACCTTACTTCTGGAAACCGAGCCCAGATCCACACCTGACTGAAACAGACAGGTTGATTTCCAGGTGACATGGGACTTGATGCAATCGTGGGTCACCCTGAAATTGAGGCGTCTCATATGCCATGCATGAGTTGAGACGCACGCTTTTAGCCAGTAATGTAGTGGCTATAATAGCATGTATTATTCTTAAAGGCCCCCTGACATGAAATCTTCACTTTCTGAGGTTTTTTTAACATTAAAATGAGTTCCCCTAGCCTATATATGATCCCCCAGTGGCTAGAAATTCAAATCGGTGGAAACAGAGCTTTGTTTGGGTGTCTTTCTCTGCCTTTGAGAAAATGAAAGCTCAGACCCGCTGATCTTGAATCTCCTCCGTATGATGTCTTACTGAGGAAAAATAACCTCCCCTTTCTCTGCTTTGCTCGCCCAGAGAATTTGGCTCGCCCATGAGAAAATGAGCTAGGAAGTACTAGAGAGCTAGGAACGCGACACAATTCGTTAATCTTGATGTAATAGTAAAAACGCATAAGAGCTGTAGTAAAAGTATTCGAGAGAGTTTCACGTATAATACGTAGCTATTTCATATGCTAGCTAGCATGTCAGGAAAATCAATTAAAAGTTTTATTTGTTAACATTATTCAATGTGCAGTGAACTAACATGAATAAACAATGAAGTTATATTTGTATTAACTAATGTTAACAGAGATTAACTAAAACTGTAACAAATGTAATGCTCATTGTTAGTAAATGCTAGCCTAGAAATCTAGACTCCCCCTAGTGGATTCAAAAATTATTTCACAGCCAGTGTAGTCTAACAACTCTCCATTGACTTTCGAGGCTGAAAAACCAAACTCTAGTCAGGCCAATCACATCGTGTATAGAGTCGGCAGGCGGGTTTAACATAGTGACGACAGAGATGCGACGGTTCACTGCTACTTGAAAACAAAGAATGGCTGCTGCCATTCGATTCGATCTTTCGATTCGGCTTTTATACGAAATAATTATACACAGTAAACAAACATATTTTATGTAAACACAAACTGTTATTTTGGATGCAATTAATCGTTGCCCAGCACTAATATTAATAAATATTGATATTGTTACTTCTAAATATTTAATAAATATAACAATTTTAAATGATTAATTTAGATTTTTTTTAATATTTAATAAATATTTAATCAGATCAAGTCAAAGAAAAAGGGGAGTGCAGTTTACATGTTTGTAAAGTCGTTGAATGACATTTATTTGTGTGACCATGCCCATGATCAACGCACTTCAAGATTGGCATGCGTAACAGTAAAATACAGTATTGTTTGTTCACACATTTGTCACACACATGACTATTCAGCCAACTATTCAGTTGTTCAGATATGAAGCAAGACTTCATTAAAAGGAAACTAGTCGAACAATAAAAGCAGAGCATCTCTGGAGAACCGAGTGTAACATGCAGTCAAGCGCTGCTCACCATAGAGACAGGTTGTGTGTTAACCACAGATCAACTCAATGGAAACACTGAGCCACCATTACAATATGTACATGAATTTTGCCATTATGACACAAGCAGCATCCTGTACTTTATGGCCAGGTATTTTCTCTGCATCCTCTGCTGCCTATTTTTCACAATCCTATGTGTGTGGTTTGTCAGAAGGAATAAAAACGTTCAAGAATTGCCTGAAAATATATTTTTGCGCAATTACTAACTGATATAATTAATATCATATGAACATATATATATATATATATATATGTAATATATATAATATATATAATATATTTTTTTTTATTTCCTGTTAATAATTTTAGTGCTTTAACTTACGTTTGGAAAAACTAGTTGACTTACGTTTTTCCAACTAATATTTATATTTTATTTTCTTTCAGCTTTATTTCTATTAACAAATGTTTTTAATAGTTTGAGTTAACAATAATAACCCTGGTTTGAAACAGATTGATTTTCAGTTTTTTTAATTAATTTAATATTCTTTCTCACACATAAAATATTCAAGATGTGCATAAATGAACAACAATTCGAGAGGCATGTGCTCCATGCAACTTAAAACACTAGATGGGATTAAAACATTTCAGTAAAAACCCCAGAGACTGAGAGATAAGCTCAGGGATCAAACTTTTGCATCATGATCTTGCGACTGACTTCATAGGCCAAAAACAGCGCTCCGTTGGCAGGAAAAGTTCGGATCATAGTCGGGGTCAAACCAGAATACAGAGGTGCCACTCCTGTCAACAAGATACCAGAATATTACATGCTGCAATACAAGAATAACTTGTTTTGTTTCATCATATGCAAATCTGATTCAGTTTGAATTATGAGACTCGTATCGTGTGCTTTTCAAATGTAAGGCTCTAAGGGTTAAGTGATTATATAAAATACATGTTCTGACAGAAATGGTTTCCTGAGAATGACCCATTAAACACCAGTAGCATTCCAGACAGCAACATAGTGTCGGCCCAGATCCGGCCGTGTGAAATCCACTTGTATCAGATGTGGGCCAAATCTGGGCCGACACTATGTTGCTGTCTGGGTATCATACAATAAACATCCACATTAGGAAAAAAAAAGGCATCATGATTTTATGAGTAGTGTTTTGAAACACTAATTATAAACACCCAGACAGCAACATCGTAATGGCCCAGATCTGGTACACCTGCAATCCACACAGTGGGTCGGATCTGGGCCAACACTATGTTGTTGTCTGGGAAACACGCACCTATCCAGAGACCCTTTTCTGTGTCCTTAAGCCAAGAAACAAGGATAAACACAGAAATCTCACCCTCATTTCGTAAAATCCCCATAAGAGTCTTGAGGAAGCCTTCCTGCTTCCCTGCTAAAGACAGAACCTGTATGCGAGACTTCACACAGTCAATGGGGTACACGACCAACCACAGACAGGCTCCGCCGAAACCACCGCTGAACATCAACGGCACCACACCTGTCAAAACACACGGATCATTCGTGAGGAGCGTTATACACTGAAAAAGGGGAAAAGCCAGTGTTGTTTATTTAAAGTGATTTTTGTATTGGTCTATTCGAAAAACACAGTTTCTGGTTTAAAGGTGCAGTGTGTAGTTTTTAGCGACATCTAGCGGTTCGGTTGCGAGCACTGCTCACCCCTCCCTTTCGAAGAAGCTACGGTGGCTAAAACAGGACAAACATCTCGTCGTCTGAGACAGCAGAGAATAGCCAGAGTAAGCCAAGAGTGTGTAACATTGTCACTGTTTCTGTACCACAGTCCATTATAAACCACATCATGGATACAGTTTACAAAGCCATAGTCAGGTACGGATCAAGGGTTTTAATATTTAATTTAATATAATTATAGTAATCAGCTGATTGTCTCACAAACGTAACCGGCACATTTCTCCCCACATAGCAAACCCATAATACAGCGAGGGAGAAGAACCACAGGAAACTATGCAACTATATATGTTTTTCTAAAAGGATAGTTGGATAGTTGAGCTGGTTAAAGTGTAAAGAAGGCGAAAGAAAAGTCTGAAAAGGTTCATGAAAAAAACTACAAAATTAGCTTCGCTCAATTGATTTGAGCGTTCGCAAAGACCCGCCCCCTTAGTTACTGTCGATATGTCCGACAAGCTACGCTGCTCTCACACACACACACCATGTTCTCACGCAGTGAAAAATACATCACGGTCTGAAAACACGCTGACAGATAAGGTTACTTTTCAGTTACTTTTGATATTAAACATATTAAACAAAGTCTCGCCTTTTTAAAAGAAATTTAAACAATAAATACCGTTTTGTGACAGTTCGCTGGTGAGCATCAGTTAAAGCTGCTCGTGATCCGATCATTTCTTCCTTCTAGTTCATTATAGCATCAAATGAACATGAATGAACACAAGAAGGAATATTGTTTTAACTGCGGAAAGAGTCAGTACACTAATCCTCCCATGTTAATCTACTAACTCTCCAGACTGCTTTGTCGGACAAAATGGCTGATGGCGAAGTATGATTGGTCAGATCACCTGTCAATCAAGCTCCCTGCAAAGGGTCAATTGGGATAACAAGGTTTGTAAAGTTTACGAAGCTTATATTTGAGCGATTTGAAATGTTTATCGTAAAATGTATAATTTTTTAATGCTAACGGATTGAAACTAATGTAATGAGCGGTGTAACGGTCGAAATATGATGGTAATGCATGTTTTTACCCAGCTCTTACGTTGGTTGATGACGGCAAAAAAAGTAATTTAACCATCAGTTCAGGCCTTTTCAACATTGATTGATTGCCAGATGTGGTGTTCCTCCCGTGGGCTGACCTATGTGCTCTTTGTCTCTGCCCATGTGGTTGGCAAACACGGAGCGGCTGAGTTCATATCCTCCGAAGAAACAGAAGTATCCAGGTACCTCACGGACGATAGTGGTGGTCAGACCCTGATAGAAGCCCAGAGGACCGTTTGTCCGCAGCACATTTCTCACAACGGACCACACTGTGCTAAGAGACAGAGAGGAACTTCAACACGATAAGGTAGATCTGCTGAACAACTGATTTAAAGGTCATTTTTGTCTTAATTTAAGTTCAAAAACACAAAAAGTACTCCGAACTTAAAAAAAAGTAGTTGGCTTCAACCAAATTCAGCCTTCCATCCCAAAAGGAAAATTCTGGGTAACACTTTACAAAAAAATGTCCCTTAATTAACATGAACTAAGTATGAACAATATTTATTAATGAACATAATTATCAATCTTAGTTAATGTTATTTTCAACATTGACTAATGCGTTATTACATTCCACAGTGGAATTCCTGGTAAAAAGCTAAATTACACAAATCAGAGGGTCAAAAAAAGCAAAACGTGTCAAAAGAGCTCTTTACCGCTGCGAATGACGTAAGCGAGTCGATCTCTCTACACTCACGTATAGAAATGTTTGTGTGTATAGTATTGTACTGTAAATCAAAACATTTGAATTCTTAATTAAATTTAATGATTAAAAAATCTACATTGGAGTTTTAGTCTGAATAAACTCAAATAACATTGTACTTTTTACATTACAATTAAAATTCATACTTCTAATAATGACCAAATTATGAGATTAGCCCTTTATCTATGAAAATGGACAAAGTTCTCACAGGCCTTATTTTCATTGACCAAAACCTCCTCTGGCCAAACAGACCTTTTCTGTCCACTGGCAATCTTGCCGGACGCCTCCATTTCATGCATGGCCTGCAGTCGACATTTAACCAGTTCAGTGGGGCATAAAGCTAGAGAGGAGAAGACAGAGGCGACAGAGCCGGAACAGGCCTTCTGAATATCACTGAAAACACATAATCACACACACTTATTATAGTTCAACCTTTCAGGTCAAATCAAATGTAACATCTTTTTTTTTTTTTTTTTTTTTTTTAGGGATCACAATTCTTCCATGATTCTGAAGAGACAACTGAACAAAATAACATGTAATTTACTAGAGGTTCTGACAAAATGTTAATTTCTGCAGTGAAAAAAATATATATTGTATTGATTTCAAAAAAATGATCAGTCAATGATTCAATAGGTGTTTCTCAATGTCAAGGATACTTCCTTGGCAAGAAGGGTCCTTCCAAGTCATTTCCTTCAGAGGCTAGGCAAGGGTCCTCTTTAGCATTCGGAGAACATGTAAATGGAACAGGCTAGCAAGTGCACGTCATTGCGTCATTACATCAGTGAAAGGTCAGCTTCGGCGCTGCAAAAATCATAGTGCTGGTGTACTGCACTGTTTAAATTTACTTGACAGTCCTTAGTTTTTTCTTGTCAGTCCTCATAGAAATAAATCAATAAAGTATAAGGGATAATGTATAACCAGGCGGTTGTTTTAGTGAATACAACCCCGCAAACTCTAAAGCAGAGGGGTCTTGATCAGCCTGAAGGGGTTATTCGCTGTAACAACCGCCTCGCTATTTTCCCACTTATAACATATACCTACCAAATAAATCAATAATTTAACACAAAATATTTATTTAAAAACGAGTTTATTCATTCAAAAACGATTATTACCGGAGTGAACAGAACTACCTCCATAGCAACATGATCTAGCTGTTAAAACATGCAATTGTAAAATATGTGACCAACAAAAAAGGCTATAACGTTATATGAAGTAAAAATTAAAAAGTTATAATCACTAGTAAAAGGGAACAGCTTTAAATCCCCTCAGCAAATTTGAGCCGACATGTTAAATAGTTTAACAAACATTAAATAAATGGCTAAACTGAAATTATACTTTCTTACATTTGAAAGCATATTGCCGTTATCACTCAGACTCCGCTAACGGTCGACATTTTTTTAGTTTTTGAACAAGATAGCAAAGCTGCGCATAGGATTGTGGGTGATTTAAGAGCGCGAAGGCTACACATATGCATCCTTTCCTGTGTATGGGATATTTTCCAAACGAAGGACTCAGTCCTTGGTTGAAATTCTGAGGATCCTTGACATTGGAACAGTCCTTCGACGGACGTCGATGACGTAGCATCCTCGAAATTCCGGCTTCCGAGGATCCTTCCTTGACATTGAGAAACGCCTAATGACTCTCCCCCAACTCGTAAAGATCGGATATTAAAGAAAATCCAGAGCTTTCCACCTGTATTTATGACTTCATGTGCATTCAGTTCTACTGTCCATACTACTTAAGAATAGGATGTCTACTTCATAAAAAAGTATGTGGAAATAAAATAAAAGTGTGGTGATATATGGTTCAGATCACGCAAACCTTATATGGAAATTAGTCCATATATGGTCATAGATGGTCCTTGATGTTATCTAGTGGAAAAGTTTGGTGTTGCGCCAGGACAAAATCTTGCTGAAAGCTAACCAAAAAATTTGGAACACTTGGAACTTGGAACACCAGGACATTGGAATACTGGAATTTGGAATACTTGGAATTTGGAACACCTAGACCTTGGAACACTGGAATTTGAAACACTTGGAATTTGGAACACCTAGACCTTGGAACACTGGAATTTGGAACATTTGGGACTTGGAACGCTGGTCACATAGTCACAAATGGTCCTTGGATGTTATATAGTGGAAAAGTTCGGTATTGTGCCAGGACAAAAATCTTGCTGAAAGCTAACTAAAAATTTGGAACACTTGGAACTTGAAACACTTGAAATTTGGAACACCTAGTCCTTGGAGCACTGGAATTTGGAACACTTGGAACATGGAACACTGGAATTTGGAACACTTGGAACTTGGAACACCTGGACCTTGGAATACTGAAATTTGAAACACTTGGAATTTGGAACACCTAGACCTTGGAACACAGGAATTTGAAACACTTGGAACTTGGTACACCTGGACCTTGGGACATTTGGAATTTGGAACACCTAGACCTTGGAACACTGGAATTTGGAACATTTGGGACTTGGAATGCTGGTCACATGGTCACAAAAGATCCTTGGATGTTATCTAGTGGAAAAGTTTGGTATTGTGCCAGGACAAAAATCTTGCTGAAAGCTAACTAAAAATTTGGAACACTTGGAACTTGAAACACTTGAAATTTGGAACACCTAGTCCTTGGAGCACTGGAATTTGGAACACTTGGAACATGGAACACTGGAATTTGGAACATTTGGGACTTGGAATGCTGGACTTTGGAACACTGGAATTTGTTCATAGTTTTGGCTTTGATTTTCTTGCTGCTTTAGAGTAGACCATGTTCTGTTAAATATATACACAGTATAATAATGTTAATAATAATGACCATTATACAATGATTAAATTAGTGGAATTTTTTAAAAACATTTTCAGAATATTAAAAATTCAGTTTATTTAAAAAGTAAGTAGTAAAAGGTTTTAAGTCTATGGTATTTTTGAAGAACCTATATATGGTAGCCTATAGTAAATATCGTGTTTAAAGTACCATGGCAGACTATATCAAAAGTAGCCTACCATAGAATGACCATCTGATCCCATTATTGTACCATAATTTACACTGTATTTTTTCAAAGAGGTGACAAGAAAGAAACCCCTGTGTTGACTCTAAACATGTAATGTTTATGGAGTCAAGAAAGGCTTCCTGAACCCGCTGGCTGTGGGTCACATGACACAGCGTGTGTCCTTGAAGATTGAATTGCATCATGCATATTGAGTATAAGAATTACTGTATTACTTTTATTGGATTTTCGTGGTTTAAGTGCCCAAAAAGTTGAATGTTACTAATACCTCACCTGAGTTCTGTGCCTTGGTCCAGTCCTGAAACAAAGCGCACGACATTCTGGCAGAAGCCGTAGCTCATGAAGAGCACAGCGTTTTCAGCGATGTTGGCTATGAGGGCAGGTGTGGTCCCTTGATAGAGGCCTCGCACTCCAACCTGTCTGTAAACAGAGACGAAGCAGTGGACAAAGCTTCTGTACAAGCCGGGGAAAGTCTGCATCTTCACCTTGGCTGTATCGAAGGGCTGCCCACTAAACACACACGCAATCCCACCTTTCAAGAAAACAAGAGAGGAAACAGAACATACTTCAATGTTTTTAAATGACTTAAAATTATATCTTGTTCCCATCAACATGCTAAATTTGAGCAATCCAGACAATAGGAAAATACACTGTACCGTGGCAGCCGTTCAGTAAATTGGGATTTTTAAATCTAATCCTATGGTATATTGTCTTATTTGATAATGTAGACACAGGAAATGATAAATAAAGGCTGTTACCACATGCTCCAGCTGACAGATCAATGACGGCTTGAGTGACAGGATGTGGAGCCATGGTTAACTTCTGCAATATTGCATCACTTCCTGTGTAGGAAAAGTGCAGAAAAAAAAGTTTGACTCAAGATTCACCCTCATTAACATACATGTCTTTGAAATATGCACAATACAGAAACAAATGTAGCCTATACATTTAGCTAAATTATTACACACAGAAGAAAGAAACTCATATACTGTAAAAAATAGTTTCAAGATTTGTTATCACAACATATTTTCTTTTGTCAAATCAACTTTACACTGTAAAAAAGATATATATCAAGATTTGTTATCACAACATATTTTCTTTTGTAAAATCAACTTTATAATAATTTATTTAGTTGAGATAACTTATTATTTTGAGTTTCTGATGATTAAATTAATCTCCTTCATTGTATTAACTCACTTTTTCCAGTTCAAACAACTTAAAATTTTAAGGCAACCAGGTTACTTACCTTTTTTAAGTTAAACCAACAATATTTTTTTACAGTGTATAATAATTTATTTAGTTGAGATAACTTATTATTTTGAGTTTCTGATGGTTAAATTAATCTACTTCATTGTATTAACTCACTTTTTCCAGTTCAATCAACTTAAAATTTTAAGGCAACCCAGGTTACTTACTTTTTTAAGTTAAACCAACAATATTTTTTACAGTTTAGTAATCACAACATTTTTTCCTTTGTCAAATCAACTTAAATAATTTATTTAGTTCAGATAACATATCATTTTGAGTTTCTGATGGTTAAATTAATCTCCTTCATTGCATTAACTCACTTTTTCCAGTTCAATGAACTTAAAATTTTAAGGCAACCAGGTTACTTACTTTTTTAAGTTAAACCATCAATATTTTTTGTACAGTGACAGGTTTGGAACAACTGGTGAGTAATTTTAATTTTCGGTGAATTAACCCTTTTATTTGTTTTCTGAATTTAATGGGAACGTTGGTAAAATATTCTTAGAATATTTTCAGCTCTTTTATTGCGTGCTCAGTTTGTAAACAAATCCATAACAGTAGGCTATCAAAATCTGGACACTTTTTAAATGAGCGGTCGTCTGTGGAAATACAATACATTTTAGCTGTATATTTCAATTAGTAGAGCTACAGTTATGAGAATTATTAAATACATACATCTAAAGAGAAACAGAAATATTATGACGATTACACGTACATAACATTGCGTTTAGTGTCTCGGTAAGAGAAGGATATTTATATCTGACCTGAGATCTCTATTAATAGCCAGCTAGTCTAAATCTTTACACTAGATTCAGAGTAGGTACCATCTCAACCTCCTCATCACGTGCCAAATTTCACATGCCAAGATCACAATGTCTCAGCAACATTAACTCAGCTGTTGCAATCTTATATGTTATGCATGATCACACACTCCATGCATTCTCTCACTCACCCGCCCTTCCTCGAGACTTCTACAGACTATTGGCGCAAGAGATCGGAACGAAGCGTCCTGTGAAAGTATAGTATTCTTACTACTGACGCAAAAACACACCTGAAATCTGCAAACATCTACACTTCCTCGATCACACACCGCCACAGGTAACCTAACTAAACGCCACTAAACCTACATGGCAGGATCTATATGTGTGTGTGTGTGTGTTGATGCGGGGGCTTCCTGGAAACAGACAAGGCGGTCTTTCGTGTTTCTGTCATATCCTGCAGATTCAGAAGGTGTTGACTCATAATCAAGATTGTGACACAAGGTAATTTCACCAAACGTGATATTCAAGCAGCGACAGTGATGGATTTTATCCACTAGATGGCAGGATAGCCTTGAGCTTATGCCAGTTATCTAAGCATCTGCACAAACCTTGTTCAGATTAAGAGGTGATACCCAGTCACATATTAGTTTTACTGGGAAAAAAGTAATCAATAGAATTATTTGTAATGTAGCCTATTGATACAATTAGGCTATTCCAGATGTCTTTTCCATTTATTTATTTTAACACAACTGAATATATTTTATATCAAGCATGTCTTTTACTACACAACGCATGGGCGTTGCGTATTTATGAAAGAGCAGGCTATATTGCAAATAAATGTAGCCTAAATAGTTGTATTTATAATAAATCCACCAAAATAAATGAGATATACATATAAATAGGCTATATTAATTGTCCTCATTGGTTCCCCCTTATGTAAAAAAATAGTTAAAAATGTAAAGAGGTAAGCACTACGGTGCTGTTTCCAGCAATCATTCGCATGTTATATAACAAGCTTTACTATTTTGTTACAATAGGCCTATAATTAAACAAACAAAAATAACTGCGTTTCTGTTATGTCCAAGCAACACAAAGCTGGAAGCCATGCGGTCAAAACGAGTGAGTATTTTCATAACATCCAAACTCCGTGAAAGTTTGTTTACTAGTTTTCAAGAGGACGAAAACACGGCTTGTTTCGCTTTCAAAAGCGCGCCTGTGATTGGCTCTCGGCGCTTGTCAATCACACACGGGGGCGGCGTCAGGTGACATATGATAGTGAGTTCCAGTAAGCGCACTTAGAGTTTTACAGCGAGAGGACTATCACACACCACTGGACTGGACTGGATTACAAAACTTCACAACAAACATCAATCTGATGCCGTTCTACACGCACCGTGACCTTTCCGTCGTTTCCAATGTGACCAAGTCAGCTTAAAGTAGGAACTCATTTCCTTTCTGTCATTGTTTCGCGTTTCACGTCATTTTTTTCTTCTCTTTTGACAATCATATGTGACATTTTAAGAGGCGAACAGTATTGCTGGTACCATGGCTGACGCAGTCCAAAACCAGATGGTCGACATCGACCCGGACTTCGAGCCACTTTCCCGACCCCGCTCCTGCACTTGGCCGCTCCCGCGACCGGAGTTCCCGAACGCGGCCGCCGCGGACTCCAACACCTCGTCCCCGGCCCCGTCCGTCAAGCAGGAGCCCTGCAGCAACTCGGAATTCATCAACAACCTCAGTCTGCTGGAGGAGAATGAGGACTACCCCGACCAGAAGCCTCTCATGCTGTGCGGCGACTTCCAGTGCCAGGAGAACTGCATCCATCACCAGCAGCAGCAGCAGCAGCAGATCCCGAGTCTCCAGCAACAGGTGCCCGTGCTCTCCTCTCCGGTGGCCGCAGCCGCTGCCGCGCAGCGCAAGAGCAGCTCGTCCCGACGCAACGCCTGGGGGAATATGTCATACGCGGACCTGATCACCAAAGCCATCGAGAGCTCCCCCGAAAAACGGCTCACCTTGTCTCAGATCTACGACTGGATGGTGAAAAGCGTCCCTTATTTTAAGGACAAGGGGGATAGTAACAGCTCCGCTGGTTGGAAGGTATTTATGTTTTCATTCTTTTGGTCTATGCGTCACCCAGGAGTTTTGCGTTTTTACGCGGGCATCTTTTCAAAACAACTTTTTATAAACGCGTCTTTTGCTCCCATTGAGTTGCGCTCCGCTCCAGCTGCTTTGGAAACAAAAACGAGTCTTGTGTGATTTGGTCTCGTTTCAGGTTTTTTTTTTTTTTTGGTGCATCCTTCACTTATTGTTTTAGGATTGTCATGGGATTGTCAATAGTCTCCATTCACTGTTGTGTAGGACAGATGATTGGCTCTCATTACGGACAGCGCATAGCGAGGTGGTTCACCGCAGTCAATAGTTCAAGTGATGACCTTTGTCACATGACCGGTCCCGAGGAACAAGTGTTTTAGTGCCTGTGGACAGCCAGGGCTTGGAGGATCTTTCAACAGTTACAGGTAGAGGTCGTTGGAGTTAGGACAAGATCAAGATTTGGACCCAGACCATTGCCAGAGCCCCTAAAGTTGCAGTCTCTTTTTAATGAAATTTCACAGGCAAAAACGTGAATTGTCAATATTGTGGCAAAGTAGGCAAAATATTGTGGTATGCAGCACAATTCACATGAAGAAGACACTTTCAAACAAACAAACTTTCTGATGTTTAACAGTGAATCCACATGACTAAGTTGAATCCCTTAAATCTTAAAATCAAAATTCTCATTCGCATTGATTCCTATTAAAATGATCAATCTTATCTCAAATTGCATATATGAATTAATAGAAAATCGCCATAGAAATAGTTATTAGTTGTTTTCCCATGAAATCTGGTTGATTTTATTGGAACAGAGAATCAGGTTTTCGCCGTATTTTAAATTTTTCCAAAATAAAAAATTGAAAGATCAAATTCATACAAAATTTAAATGAAATCAACACTTCTGAACTCATGAGATCTGGTTGAATTTTCATGTCTCAATTTTCAAGTCATTTTCAATTTTCTTATAAAGAAAAAATTGAAAGAAATCAAAGTTCGAATTGATACGAAATGCATACGAAATCGCCACATCTTAACAAAAATCGATTTCTCGTGGGATCTGGTTGAATTTATCGCAACAAGAGAATCAGGTTTTCAATTTTCTTAAAAAAGATAATTGAAAAAAAAAAAAAAAATTGAAAAATGAAAAAAAGTTCAAATTCATAAAATTCATATGAAATCGAAACTTCGTTACTAAAATGGTTGTTTTATCATGAGATCTGGTTGAATTTATCGCAACATTCTTTAATCAAGAGAAACATGTTTTCACCGTATAGGCTATTTTATCCCCCCCCCCCCCCTCTAAAAAAAATAAATAAATAAATAAAAATAATTAAATTTCGAATTCATACAAAATTCATACAAAATCGACAATCCTTTACTAAAATAGTTGTTTTCTCATGAGATATGATTGAACTTATCACAAAATTATATAAACAAGAGAATCAGGTTTTCACCGTAATTTAAATTTTTCTAAAAAGTAAAATTGAAAAATTTTAATTTCGAAATCGACACTTCTTAACAAGTAATTACTTAACTATAGTTGTTTTCCATTGAGAGCTGGTTGAATTTATCACAATATTCTTTAATCAAGTGAATCACCTCATCTTAAACTTTTTTTTTTCATTAAATAAAATGTATATAAAAACAATTTTAGGATAAACTATCCAGTAAAAAAATACAAAAGTTTAATGAGGTAAATAAAGTTTTTGGGCTCATGAAAAGAAGTTTTATTGTGGCTTTTCATACACTGGAACTATAAAGTTGGACATAAGTGACTCACAAAACTGAGCTTTGTCATGGTTATACGTCATCAAGATTAAGACTTAGCAGAAGTGATAAGGAGGATCCTAATAAATAAGTTCCGGTAACATGTACCACCGGTATGCCTGAACTACCCTGGAAACCGGAGAAACAGGAAAACTCTGCTTTTCTTATCCATGGAAACCTCGTTGTTAAGTAGGTCCAAAGTTGTGTTGTTAGGTGTAGTGCATCATCACACAACACGCTATTAATATCCGCGGGATTAACCGTCAATACCCCTCTGATGTGTGCCAAGTATGCTACGCGTGCAAGTAAGGATCCGCCCCACACTCGGATTTATTGTGTGTCTGTGTGCCAGCATTCCACAATTGTGCGTCGATGACTGATCACACATGCGTTTACCTCTCTTACGACACACAACTCTCGTTCGCATTGTTATCGGAAGCACATCTGATAAACACCCAAGGTCAAATCTGTGTGTGTGTTGTGGTTGTAAAACTGATCTGTTGAATCTGTGCCGTGATTGGATGCTCGGTTCGCGTGACTCATAACGGGGCAATGTTTTTGAGAAACCACAGGAAATTTCCCGCAGGAACCGTTCAATTTTATTCTGATCTCATAAACAATGTGGCGCTGGTAATGATCAGCTTCCCTCGGGGGCTTTTCACACACACACATCTGACCGTAGATCAACTTCTGTCAGTCCAAACCGATGTGCTGGAAAGAGGCTGAGAGGAGTTGAAAATCACCGGGTTTTAAGTTATCATAGATAGACGTCATTTCATATTTTTGTTGGCGAATGAACTGATATCCATGAGTGTTTATGTGTTTAAGCTTCCCTTGTTCATTATAGCCTAGAGTTTATGTTGACTAGATATTAAATGGGGTTAAAGTGTGTTTGACGTTTCAAATAATAATATTAATAATAGGCTAAATTGAGAATATTAACACTTTTTACAAAAAAAAAATACATTTGGTCTGCATGGTCTTTTTAAAATGCATTTGTCATATTGCATGAAATAGCAAAATTGAGTTGGAAATCAAAACATTGATTAAAATATTCTCTTTTATATGATTTACATAATTTTTTGATGGTGGAATAAAAGATCAGGCGTCCTCCAGGGGAAGGCGTGGGGACACAGGCACTGTTTTGGCCAGCTTTGTCTCTCCTGAGAGCTGTATTCACCCAGAGAAAAGGGCAAAGGGTGAGAGCGGCACAAGTAATGCATCAGTGCTGCCGCCTCTTGCACACATGGGCTTCGGTCCTGAGGGTTTGACAAAGTAACTTTCGGCTGTTAATGTCACACACCTCCAAAGGGTAAATTCCTGAAGCCAGGTTACCGTACTCCGGTCAGCGTTTATCCTTCTCCCACAATCCACTGAAATCCAGTGTCAGTTTGTCTGAAGCATTGATGTATTTTCGTAAGAAGATGTTGGCGAACTTTGGCATGTGAAATGTACTGGTAGCAGACTAAAGACTAACTGAACATCGGTTAAATGTCTACATTGGTTGTTTAGTGAAGGGAATACAGTTCAAAGTGAATACCAGACGCTAAATACACATTCCTTTGAGATAAATCTGATGTTTACTGACTCTTAAGCTGCTGTTAAATCAATGGTTTGTCACTGTTGTTCAGTTTGGATGCCTGTTTTAATATATTTTAATATTTACATAATAATAATAAATAAATAAATTATATATATATATATGTATATATATATAACATTTATATTAATATTTTAATAATAAATATATATATATATATATATATACATTTATTTAATAACTCATAATTTATAAACTAATTATTAATAAATTGAAACATTTAAATACTTATAAAATATTATATATATATATATATATATATATATATATATTATTTTATATATTATATATAAAACATAAAAGTATTAGATTAATATTACAATAATATAGATATAAATTATATATATTTATATGTATATAAATATATGATATATATAGGCTATATATATATATATATATATATATATATATATATATATACACATATATGGGATATATATATATGCAAACAGTATATATGCAAACAGTTATTGTACGATGGAACAGACTAATGAGATTATTAAAAAATGATATATATATAAAATAACATGTAAATTATAACTTATAAATTAATAATTAAATAAATTATTAATAAAATAATAATACATTTTATTTAAATAAATTATTAAATAATTAAATACAATATTTATATTAAATAAAATAGTAATAAGTAATAAGTCATTGAATAAATTGTATATAATCATACACATTTAAAATATATATATTTACTTTAAATGAAAAATGTGGTTATATATATATATATATATATATATATATAATATATATTTTTTTTATTTTAACATAAATAAAAATCCAAATAAATAAATCAACAAAATATAATATAACCCATTTTCATTTGTCATTTTTTATTTTATTATAAAAATGGTTTATTATATATTTATTTTTAGATAATACATCAAATAAATTTAAGTAAATAATAATAATGAAAATAACTTGAATTGTCATTATATATTCCTTTTAAACTTCTGACTGTAATAACTGTTATGATATCTGTACATAATGTACATATTTAGACATGTACTGTTTTCAGCCTGTTTCATCCAGCTTTTAGCCAATAACAAATGTCCTCTAGGCCTATTAATAGTAAATAAAACCTGGTGAGTCAGTATCTGTGAGCAGCTTGACATGATCGCATCCAGACAGAGCACATCATCAAGAGACATTTATTTACCCAGATTTTATTTACTTAAATTTCTTTATTTTTTCAGCATCGTGACTCTTCTGTTATGAACAGGCACGTACACTAACCACTAGTCCACACGTTCAGTCTAATTTGAGTTTCGTTCCTGGTCTCAAGCCTTGTTTCAGTTCAGAATTGTGCACCCGCTCCAGCTTCGCCTGCATGTGTGTGATGGTTTCTGTCGAGCGCTCTTGTGCCGTGGTGTATGTCATGTGTCTGTGGAGTGGTCAACTCTAGTGCCCTTGCATGCGTTGGGTTTGAAAGGTTACACGTGATATGAGGTCTCTGAGTGTTTCTAAACAAACATGCCTAGACGGTTGGGTTTGATCTGTGCTTTGTTGCTCTCGCTAGATCTATGAAACATACGTCACTCTCGCAGTGTAAATATTTGACGCAGGCCGCTGTCGCCAATCACGTTGATGTCCCCAATCGATGTTCCTGTCCTGTGGGACGTCACAC